TTTGTTCTTAGGGTGAAAAGTTGTAATTGCCCATCCCTCTTCAGACTGCAAGAGGATTAAGATGCTGGGCAATTTATAACCCAAGCGGTGACACACCTGTGTGCTTTGTTCTGCATAACTGAAAGCCTTGCCACATCTGTTGTCTTCATGACCAAGATGAAAGAAGAGAGTTGGACAGATGCTCCCTGAGAGCACTTGCTGGTCGCTGTACAAATGCAAATACAGGTTACTATTATGGTCTTTCCCTTTCCATGAAAAAGGAGGAAGAGTGTGACAAGGCTCTAGCAGCTCTGCTTATTTATAGCTGAACATGTGCTTTTTTGCTAAAAGATGATCACCTGAAGGGTGAAGCTGAAGGAGCACTCTGCTGGAGAGCAGAGCTGCGGGCAGTCGGCGTGCCCACTTGCCAGCGCACCTCCTCGCCAGCGCACCTCCTCGCCAGCGCGCCTCCTCAGGCGCCTTCCCTCCTGGCACCCGGGCTTTGCTAAATGCGGCTCAGCGTTTTGTGAGTGGGAACAATCAGCGCTGCAGGTTGTAGGAAGTATTATAATTAAATGTCCACCCACTTTTCCCTTTTTGATGAAAGGCTCCCATGAAGCTTACTAAAATAAGGTACATCAAGATAGATGAATTTTTGATGAGTAAGTCAATGCACAGAGGAAGCTGGCTTTTCACATAGAGAAAAGTCTCTAACTCACAGAAAATTTTCAGGCCTAGATCACTAACATTGTCATTTTTAATGATAATTAATATGATAAAACCCATGAAGTAAACCTGAGATTTTACAGTTTTAGTCAGTAAGCAATTATAGTGTTCGGCATGAACTGACTTCCTGAGAACAAATTGTAATATGATTCAAAAGCAACAGTGGGATTTTAAAAGTTAAATTTGGAGAGATATTGCATAATAGGCATTAAAATAAACAATGCATTTATTGAATTTAATGACATTCTTCTGAAAAATAGTTAAGTCACCAAATTAAAGTCATAAAATGCATCGCTGAGATGGACAAGTGTTTTCAATTAAATTTTCACCCATTTCTTCCTGGCAAGGTCTGGAGCAGAGTGGATAGTGTGCTATGGACAATCAGCGCCTCTGGCATCTGGATATGTCCCTGTAAAGGACAGTTGTGAGCTCCCGGAGCATAAGAGGGCTCTCTGCCTGCCACCTGGGCTTGCAGGGACAGCTCGAGGCAATTCCTGAAACACTCAAAATCGGCCTTCTGGAGAGAAAGAAAACTGAATTGGTGTCTGGATGTGTCCCTGCTTTCTGAGGGCCTTGATTCAATGCTAGCTATAGTCTTTGCTGTTAGAGGAGACCAAATGTAATAAAATTGAAAATCCATATTCTCTGGAATGACTGTTTCATTTTAAAGATAAATTTCATATTTTTACCTTCCTGGTTAATGGATATGATTACTAGAAGCTGGCAGAGCTGCTGTGCACCAAGTCCCCGCCAGGATGAATTACACAGCGCTCAGAAACACAGCTCAGAAGCACAGCTCAGGGACCACATCTCGCCGACGCCCAGCACTCCGTTAGGATGACTTCCAGTGAGCTTGTTGACTCAACGTCATCATTACCACCCTTGCTCCGTGGGTCAGACATAGAGGAACTCTCAAAGCAGGAAAATATTTGCACAGTTCTCAGGTTAGCACTACTAAACCAGCAGCAAAGCCCCAGGTTACCTAGTGTGGGGAGCTGTCCAGCATCTTGTCTCCTTATTCTACAGCTGCTTACGTCACAGCAATCTGCATAGTAACGGCCACATCAGAGGTGACTCCCGCGGACAGGGCACGTGCGTCGGCCTGACTTTTGAGCCACCCTTTAATCACTTCCATTTCTTCCTCAAATTGTCAGATTCACTTGATTTTCTAATTATAGCCCATAGGACTTCTTCCAGTTCTGACTGTGATACTTAAGGAGCTTCCTTACCAGCCTGGAGTTGTTCTTGAAAAACCTGATGGGGATTCTTTAAAAATGAACACCCGCTTTCCCACACTTCTTTTGAGTCTTAATTTAACAAGTGGTGGCAAGCATAAGAGAAGCAACAAGACTCGGACAAGTTACAGCTTTATCTTGAAGTCGCTGAGAGCCCAGGACTCTCTTCCTGGCCAGTTTGGAATAAGGCACCCGGGTGCACTGGCCCGCGCGGGAGCTGGTAAGCAGGGTAGAGGGCGGCGGAAGCGAGGGAGCAAGCAGGACCCGCTGAGGAGGGCAGCCCCATTGCTGCCTCTGCCTCAGGGTTTGGGGAATGAGAGGTGGCGTGCTTGTTCATGAAGCATCTGCCTTCGCACAAGGGATTTCCTGGGTGATAAATTGGCGCTCTTGGAGATATACACCTAAATGACGTTTTCTCTGAGAACCTTTATTGGGAAATGCTCTGTGTCATTTATTGGTGTATATGAACCCTTAGCTATTGTCTTGCTGGAACTTCACTTATGGATGAAGCGAATCCACAGAGAAATGCAACGATCAAGGGGCCAGTGACGCTCTGCCCGGAGTGCCGGGAGGGCGCTCAGCCTCCAACCTGACCTGCGCTGCCCTCCTGTCGCTGCTATGACCAACGCAGGATGCTAAAAGTGAGCTTTTCCGACTTCCGGGCGGAAAAAGTAAGAAACCACTGCTTCTGTTTCCTGCTCCTGACTTGCTGCAGCAACTAGAACCTTCTTACCACCTATACAAAGCCGAGGCTGCATGGACAGGTCTGCAAGACGATCGTCCATGCGTGCAGCTTGGGCCGCGCTGTGCACACACTGAGGTCACGTAAATCCGCGCGCAGACGTCTGGCCTCCGCAGCCCAGCGGCTGGGAATGACCGCGTGCGAACCCTTCCCAGACCTAGCGCAGGTCTGTGAGAGACGGCAAGGGCTGGCCGCTAGGAAGGCAGCTACGCTCGCCCCGGGCCAGCAGCACTACACCTCCGGGCTTAGACGCTCTCTTACACAGTGCAAACTCGATGACTGAAAGCCACTTGGACCAAAGCTTCCAGGTAATACTAGAGCAAATCCCAAACTTAGGCAGCACACCTATTCTAGCATAATCTCACCACGCTGTGATAAGGGAATGTACAGATGAAATACTCCTTTCCACATTTTCTCATACCTTGTAATTCCAATGCTTTTATTCTTTCAATATTCATTATTGCATAGTGAATCTATTCAATATCTATTCAACATTCACATGGAATAAAGGATTTTCAAAATCCTCAAACATTTAAAACAAATTCTTGGAGTTTTGTCCACATAGTAAATCACTGCTTAAATTTTAAAAATAGTAGCATTCCCAACTGTTTTTAAAGACAGTTCCTCAGTAATATGTCACAATTTCCTTAGCTTACCCGAAGTGGGGAAATTGGCCTACATTAAATTTTAATAATCTCTTTAAGATTTTTCAAAAATGTAAACTCACCAGCAGGACATATCAGATAACTTTTTTCCAAAAATCATTTGACCAAGATGCCTTTATTTAACGAGATTGCATAACATAGATGAGAAAAACTAAGAAATTGGGGAAAGATGCAACTTTATCAGCAGAAACCAAATTTTCTTCAAAAGCATTTCACAAAATACTTTTTTCATAATTTGGTGTGAGGACACGTAAGAGAGGACCTTTTGCTGACAAAACCCACACGTGTCAGGTACCACGCTAATTAGATGACTTTTGCAACCTTCTCCCAGTGATCAGAGCTTTCAATATTCCCTTGCGAATATAGCAAATAAATATTTGAGGAACAAGCACATTAAGGAATAAATAAAACTATTGAATAAGTAATAAATAGAACTACTAAATACTTAATAAAAGTCCTCTGTTTTGGTAAAAGTTGTATAAAATGTGTTTCTGATTCAGGTGGTAATTATTTTTCACTTTCAAATTGTACAAGTAGTTCACAGACCACAAGAACATACTTCTGTGAAGAGGTCATGGCTGGTGTTAGAAGTTGTGGCATTCGAGAAGATTACCAGTATGGCATGGGCTCTGAGAGCATAGCCCTTGGTGCTGGGCCTTGCTCTCATACCTACTGTTACATTACTTGTGTTAGAAAGTCTTCCATCCAAGTTCCCACTTGCACTGTAGCTGTGTGTTATTGACGCACAAAATACAAAGGGTTCTGTTATTGGTCTCCTGGGACCCTCCAGGACTTCACAGATCTTTCTGCATTACACTATCCATCTTCCAAAAGCATGGGTCATTCCCATGGCTCCAGTTTCTATCTTTTTTTTCTGTATTTAGGACAGGGTCTACAGGGTCTACAGGGTCTCACTACCTAGATCAGACTCATAGTGATTCTCTTGTTTATAGCCATGCAAGAGCTGGGCTTACAGGCATGCACCACCACACGCAGTCTCAATGGTCATCTCAGTGTGCCCCGAGGGCAGGGCCAGCAGGGCAGGCTGGGGATTGAACCCCCGGCCCCTGCATCTGCCTAAGCAGCCATGGCTCCAGTTTCTAAGCATAAGAAATTATAGTTTTATCCTCTCTTCCCTAATTCACTATGTATACTTAATTATTCACTATCTGTATCTCTATATAGCCTGTACTCTTGTCTATCTTCATGTTATATAGTTATATACATTTTGAAAACATGAAGGAGTCTCATTGTCAAGAACAATATTTAAGCACACACACACACACACACACACACACACACACACATACACACACACACACCCCTGAAATAATGTTTGTGCTTTTAACTTAGAATGGAAAGAAATATTTGTGAGGGTAAATCAAATACCTGTATTTAGCTAGTTCTTTTCTGTAGCTCTAAGAAGTTGTGCACTAAAAGTAAACAAGAGCAGGAACAATGCATGGCTTCTGATTGCAGCCTGCAGGGACAGCTTGCACCATTTGACATGTGCACCTTCCTATACCCAGGTGCAGCTCTGCCGCACTTGTAATGTGTGGTCAGAAGTTTTGATTTGAGTATGATTGCACAGCAAATGGAGCAGGGTGGCCTCCCCACCGGAGTGGGAAGTGGCTCCGGGTGTGGCACACTTACCTCTACAAGCCTGCTGCTGTGCTCATGAAAGATCGCAGCATATTCCTTTATTTCCTTTTCCCGGCCATTCTTAGCAGCTTCGATGAGAACCAAAAGGGGGACTGTTGTGTCCAAGAAGGAGTCCGACACGTGATCAGTAATGGCCTTGCGGAGCTAAGGAGAAACAAGTAAGTCAGGATTTTTTCTTAAAAGAAAGGATTCACGTTGTTTCCTAGTCTTACAATTTTAGTGATTACAAAATTCAGTTTATGAATTTTAAAACAATCCATGAGGTCCTAAGATTCAACATTGAGTAGGAATGGCCCTTACAAAAGTCCAAGGAGCAAAGGATCCAGCAAAAATATCACTAATAATTTCCTCACTCTCAAAAGTCACTAATTTTTTTCTGAAATTGTACTTAGCCTATAAATTAGATTATAACTGGTAATACTCCACTTTTTTGCTTAAATAAATTATAGTATTAGGATGTTTATGCATGTGTACAATTAACATTGCACATCTTGCATTTTCATAATTACAAAATTATAAAATGTTTTCTTCCTTACTGGAGCAACTGATGATAAATTTTGATTAGCTAAATTGTAGGCTTCATGGTAATTAAACCAAGTTAGATCACCGATTGCACCAGATGATAACAAATTAATAGAGCAAGGAGAATAATAAATGAGTTTGATGTCCAATTTTCTCAGTTTGCATTAATTGTTCCTGTCCTCACACTTTAAATTATTTAATGACTATAACATTCTGCTACAAATTGTTCTCTTAAATTGAATTACATGTAAGATTATAAATGACAATTAGATAATTACTTAGTGGATACTTTATTATTTTATTTTTTATTATTTTTCATTTTTAAAAAAAATTAATATTACATGTTTGTAGTACATAACAATCCCATTCATGGTGGGAAACCACATAACACACATGCGTAACACATCTTAATTCTTCGTAGTTCCCTTTTCCCTCCCCCACATCTCTCCCTTCAATTCCTTCCACTTCAAACTCTATTGGAAAATTAATTCTTTGCTTTTATAATATTGAGCCTTTCAAGATCACAGTGCTGGAACATCTCATTGACAGTGTTAACTATTATGAATGGGCCCAAAACTTTTATATCAGCCCTCTCATTTAGCTTCATAACCTGGGTATGATAACAAAAAGGTAAATAAGTATCAGAATGGAGAAATCAAAATCTCACTTCTTTGACAACTGTACTTTAAGGCATTTTAAAACTAATAGAAAACACAATTACGTATTTTCTGAAGATGATGAATACTTTGTAAAGGAAATAGATGATGAAGCTGCACTTTTAAAAAGAACTGTCTTTCTATGATAATTACAGGATAATAAATATGCAATCATTCTAGATTTCTGGGAGAAAATACGTCTGTCCAAGATAGTGGCACTTGCTCAAAGGAGCTAGGGAACCTCTGCTCCCAACAATTTCTCAACGGCTCCAAGCAGACCCCAAGGAAAGCTTCTGCCTGTGAGCTGAAGGCCGGGGCCAAGCCAACAGGTGAGCACTTCCCGGTCCCTTGTGAGGGCGGGCAAGGCCAGTGGAGGGACTGTGGCTGGGCAGTGGGGAACGCGTGCCTCAGATGCAGCGCAGAAGGAGAGGTCCGCGCTCAGAAGAGGAGCTGCCTTCAAGGACCTTTCCTCCCTGCTAGGGAAACGTGTCACTGGGATGGGAACAGAGCACCGCACCAGCCTATCGATAGGCTGCGGAGAGTCTGCTCACGGGGGACTCCAGAGGAGAAGTGCAGAGAGGAAACCTGCGCGAATGAGCATAGGAAGCGCCACCCCACGCGGCCGCCCTGCCTGCGGGAGAAGACCATTATCAAGACTGAGACAGTGGCCAAGAAACACAACAAAAGAACAGGACCCAAAAGACAAACTTTCCAATGAACCCGAGTGGCATTACTCTCCACATGTACTTCCCCGAGACAAAATTACAGCGTCCATATTATGGGTCTGTTCAATCTTCTGTGTATTTGATTTCACTCAAGTCAACAGATATTTCTGAACATTGGTAGCTATCCCTTCTACTAAAAATAAGGAAGTACTGTCAGAAGTGTCAAGATAAAAATGCATGATCTCTCCTAACCCTCCTAAAGAAGTGAGAATTATTAAAGATCACATAAAGGAGCAGTAAGAGACTGATAGGGAGAGAGAAGAGAGAGGGAGAAGAGAGAGAAATAGTGAGGGTCAAATAATTTTAAAGAAAGCTTAAATTTTTAAAGAATGACCTGTCAATTGGATTTAAACACTAAGAGTTTATTGATGAACACAGTGAAAGGAGTTATGCGGAAGGGTTGGGGCAGGTGAGCAGGAAAGAAGGGGGAGTGACTGTAAGCTCTTATCTGAAAGACCAAAGTAGCTACCTCAAAGTGCATCCTTAAAAATGGGTCTTTATGTAATAGACATTGATATAAGTTTACATCTGCAAACATAACTACAAAGACAGAGTGTCTTAAGCATTTCAAAAAGTAAATGGATTTGGGAAGAAAATGAGAACCTAGAGATACAGAAAATAACTACACTCTCACATTGTGAACTTTTGTTATTTTTGTTCCATGAGAGAAGAAAATAGCCAGAAATCAGTGACACAAGTTACAAATACACGAAATCTTTAGTAAGCACAGAACAGACAGGGAGCTGCTTCTCCTATGGAGAATAGATTTATCTTTCTAATTTATCTAATAGATTTATCTTTCTTGCAGCCTTATTAACCTGGCCAAAGCACTGTCCTATTACTGATCTCCACCTGACTTGCTGACTCTTTTCTTTCTTTCTTTTTTTTTTTTTTTCAGGACCAGGGATTGAACTCAGGCCCTTGTGCTTGCCAGGCAAACACTTATTCTACTGAGCCATCTCCCCAGCCCTGGCTTGCTGACTCCTGATCCTTCACCTTCACAGTTACGGCTACAATTATGTGCCACCTTAGATGTTTTGGGTGCTCTAAGCTTCATCATTTGGTCAGATAAACTGGGGTGACAGAAATCATCAACTTCCTGCTGCTAGAACAGCAACCTCAAGAACATAACCTTTCTTTCCCCCATCTCATTTTTCATGTTTGTTTAGAGTTCTTCATGAGAACCACCTCTCAAATAAACTACCTGCAGCAAGGTGCTGTATATTCTACTTTGATGGAAATCCAACGTAGAACAGGCACCTTTGTTTCATGTTAAGGTTTGATCATTCATCTGGTAATAGACTCCAACATCTTGCTTAAAATAATCCTTGCTGATACTATTATGATACTTTTCCTTAGAAAAAAATACTGCCTGGGATTCTAATATGCTTGATGCCATGCTAACTGTGAAAAACTATTATCATGAGGGAACTAGATGCGTACATAGGGACAAGATGCAGAAGGACCAGTGTTAGCTAAGTGGCATTCTTTGCAATTTCTGATATGCTCATACAGGACTTTTTCACTTCACTGCACAGATATAATCCTGATGCATGTTCTGTCATTTACTTTTATATTATTATCCTGGCCAGGGACATGTTGCACTGCTTTTATTTAGAAATATAAAAAAGTTAATGAAGAATATAACATACCCATGTAGAGATAGAAGCCATGGGGCTAAAGTCTTAAGTCACTGGGAAACCAATAGGAGTTAGAGGTATATATTTTCAATAAATATCTTTTTGGAGTCCAACATGAAAGATGTCAGAACAAAACCAAACTGAGGGGCTTTTCATCTTTTCTCTCTACAGTTTAATAAAAGGTTTTGAAACATCAATTTTTCTATTTCCCACTGATATAAGTGGTTTGGGACCTCAAATAAAATAATATATTTCTCTACAATTGAAACCTGAAAGTGAAAGCCCTATGTGAAAACAATCTGACAGCCCCACCTCAGTTATCAAACAAGAGAATAGAAAAAGTAAGATTGCAAGAGAAAGAGAATGAAAAGCAGGGAAAGTGTTTCAGGAAAGAATAATCCTTGGAGAACTAGAAAAACTAGTATGTGGGTGCAGTAATGGAATTTTATGATTTGCAAAACTCAGAAGACTCATGGGCACTAAATCAACAAGCAGCTAATGCAGACCTAACATGCCAGCTGAGGGGGACGATACTGGGGAAGCATTTCAACTGGATGATGGCGACGGTGACCAGGACATAGAGTTCCCAGAGCCTAAGCCTTTTGCTAAGTATTGCACTGCTGACACAGAGAAAAGATGGATGTAACAGTTCATCAACACAGACACTGAGATAAAGAATCAATTGAGTTATTTCTGTTTGTTTTTACAGAATTTTGTTTTGTTTGACTTACATGACACGGATATTTTTTCTTAATATACACAAATAAAAATTTTAACCTGGGGCCAGTAAGACTGCTCAGCCAACTAAAATGCCTGCTGAAGCAAGCTTAGGCCAGCGTAGAGCCCGCTGATAGATCACCAACACCACATATAGTGCCAGCCCCGCCCCACGGGTGGACTGAGCTGGTCAAAGTTCAGGTGTGGTGATGCATACTTATACTCCCAGTGCTGGGGAGGCTGAAAGCAGAAGGATCACCATGAGTCCGAGCTGCTTACTGAGACCCTATAACAACTTAATACGTTAAAAAAAATCATCTGACATTATTGAAATCAACTGTATGATTTGCTATCATGGGACAATAGAAATAGAATATATTTGATCACCTTAATTTTCAATGAAATATCTCCTGTTATGCAACTTGCCTTTAATGAGAATTTTAATAAAGTTTTCAAATAAATTAGGGGTGAGTAGGCTAAGGGTCTACTCACTAGACCCTAACTTTAGGATTTAAAAAGGCTGTGAAATACAAGGAGAATAAGGCTGGCTCTCGTAGCAGAGGTACGTGCGTTACAAGTGCTCCAGAAAGAAAACACCAAGTTGCAGCTGGTGAAAGTAGAAACAGGATCATGGAAGGGGCAGTGTCTATACTTATCTTGAACTTAGGGAATAAAAATGAGAGCAGATGCTGCAAGAGCGTGGAAGGTACTGTACCAAGTGCACCAAAGTGCTGGGTGAGCTTGCTGAGATGGGCAGGTCGGAAGCAGGGCCAGCTTCTGATGGACGGTAAGCAGGCATTTCAGTCAGAGAATGGATGACTGCACTGGTGCAGCCACGAGAGGGAAAGACAGCATTAAGAATAACAGGGCATAGGCAGGGGCCGAGTTTCTGAGAGCCTGAACACCAAGCCAAGGGCTTCCCTCTCTGTTGCTGAGTAAAACACCCAAGGAAGTCAGAGTCAAGAAGGCTGAGACACAGAAGCACTGTGTCACCACCTAGAAAAGCTCTCTCAAGGTTCCAAAATGGATAGTTTGTTTTTCCTCATATATTTCACAGTAATCCCTCTCATTCCATTTCCTCTGTCATTCCTTTTAGTGGAAGTCCAGTCTCTGAACCACAGCTAGTGTTTCTGTGTTCCTTATGAAGGAGCCAGGTTTATGGAAGGAGGTGCGGGTAAGCATGGAAGGCAATCGACTCTGATCACTTTTTACTGAAAACAAGCAACAAAACCAGCAAGAGATGAACATTTTCCAAAAACATTATAAGGGTAGGATTTATCCTACTTGTGAAAAAAAAATGTATGTATGATGCTTAAAACAACTGTAAAATAAACCTGGCAAGAATAAGAAAAAGTAGGGTAGTTCTCATTGCTGTTTTAACTAATTTCTGTTACTATCAAAAGTACAACACTGCATGGAAAAGGAAGTCAAAGGGTTGTGGCAAGTGATAATAAAGGGTAGGAATCAAAGAAACTCGCCTCACCAACACTGAAGGACGTGCATGCAATAATGGAATTTTATGATTCACAAAACACAGAAGACTCAGAGGCACTAAATCAACAAGCAGCTAATGCAGACCTAAAGTGCCCGCTGAGCGGGACAGTACTGGAGAAGCATTTCAACTGGACAATGGTGATGGTGAAAGGAGCCAGAGTTGGCTCCAAAGATGGCTTCTACTGACTCTTCCCTTTAGTCCATGCAAATTTCACTTCTACTACAAGACAGTTTCTACTCTCTTCTACTGATATAGGGTAGGGTTTGTGATTATGAGGATCTGTAGAGTATGGAGCTAAATAAGACTCTAAGGTCAGGCACTATGAAAGTGTGGCAACTTCTGCTTCGTACTCCTTGGCACCATAAGCCAGCACAGAATGAAGCCTGCCTTTCTCACTGGAAAAGACACATGGAGAAGCTTCTGAAGATTGTAGGTTACCTGAAGAGGGCATGGGGGGCAGCACCAAGGCCCCAACCCCCAGCCTGAGCCAGCCTCAGTCACTGCTACAATAAGCGAAATGTAACTTTCAACCCGATAGTGTTAGATTTGCTGCATTCGTTTTCCCAGAAATGAATGAATTGCAAAGGACCAAAGAGGTTAAGAGTGGCAAAGGTATATTAGGGAACAGGAAAAGCTCCTGAGAGACGGGAAGGGTCCCCAATGGGTTGCAATCCAGCCCTTCCTCAAAAGCAATTTAAACAGCAAAGTCACAATCTCAGTATAATATGGGTGAAACAAAAATGAATTTATAGGATTGCAAGTACCTCTGTTAGCCAATATTGATCCAGGAAGGAAGCAGGTCACATAACAAAGGCCAAGGTCTAGCAGTACCAGCCTTGTGTTAGGTATGACCATTAAAACAGGAACAGTTTTGAAGGAAGTGGTATAGGTGTCCCAACCACTCACCTGGGTGGCGGATGCCTGCCTGGACTTACTGCAGGGGATGGCAGCAAGGATGGTATAAGCTCAGGCTTCCCCTCCCCCTCAGGGCAGCATGCATGTCTGGCCATGACTCTGTCTTGAGGCCTTGTCTTTTTCAGATGTGCCTCCAGCTGCAATTGTGGTGTCTTTATTTGTGACTTGATACCCTTAAGCCCAGTCCTTCTCTGACTGCAAACTAATCTCTACCTAATTTACCTGGTTAGACTACTACTAAATGGGAAATCGCAGGTAAAAAAGAGAATAGAAAAGGTCCTGTGACCCCAAGCCAATCCCTGAAAGCGGAAGATGCACCCATGGGTGCTGTTGTTTCTGGCATTTTGTTAGACATTAATGTAAAACTGAAGCAGAGGAGATGCTGACCCTTGACAGGAGCCATGGAGAATTTTCAAACTTCCAAATCTCAGGAAAGCTCTAGAAACTGATGAAGAAATAACGCTGATGAAGTAAGGATTTGTAATCCTCAGTGATATTTCTATGGCACTGACGGCAGCGAGGTGGGAAAAAAAGTGTGAGTATAAAATAAATACAGGACACCTGGTTACATTTTAATTTCAGAGAAACGACTTATATTTTTAAAGTAAGTATGCCCCATGCAATATTTGGAACATAATTATATTAAAACATGTTTGTTGCTAATCTGAAATTCAAATTTGACTTGGCATATTGTGCTTTTATTTGCTAAATCTAGTAATTCAACACACATGTAATTGCTTTTTCTTGATTTTTTAAGAAAAATAATGACTCCAGAAGCTGTGGAGGGATGAATGTAGATTAGCTTCTTTGCATAACTTTGTTGAAAGCAATATAGATAGAAAACATGAGAATAAAAGGCATAATTGTTGATAGTTCCGAGGGACAATTCTTCCAAGTTCTAGGAGGAGCAGATGGGATTGAAATCCTGAAGATGAAGATTAGAAATCCCACAGCAGAAGGGTAAAGAACGCAGAGAGTAAGAGTACCAGAGTCGCATCCTAGGCTCAGAGCCCAGGAAGCCACCTCTGCCTTCCTCTTTCTTCTGTCCCCTCACCACAGGGCCAGATGATCCATCTGCATAACAAGGCCGCAGGACCAAAGGAACTGCGCAATTAAGTTCCTTTCACCGCCAGCTTTCCGAGATTCTAAGGCAGATAGTAGAAAGATAATTCACGCGAAGGCTATAAGGGTGAGAAATTGAGATTTTTCACAGACTTCAAAATTGTGTTCCCATACTCTGGTTTCTCCTCAGATCGTATAAATCTTTTGCCTTTCACTAAAATTGTGTTCTTACCCAGCAACGTTAAATGTCTGTGTGTTCTTACGTATTCCATTTCCAGATCTCCTTCTGAATTAAAACATTGCTAAACCATTTTACTAAATCTTTCTATTGAACTGCAGTAATATATTGCACTGAAAGCTTTTGTTTGAAAACATTTTGGTCTTCTTTTGTGAGTTAATGACAACCATATTAAAGTTTTATGTGAGAATAGTCAAAAGGGATTTTTAAAAAAGGCCTTGGAGATTAGCATAGTCTTACATTCCTGGAAAAACTTAACTGGTGACATAAATTAGACTGTTAAATTATTTAATGAAATTCTTTAAATCATATGTTTGTCATGATCCAAGGTTAAAAAGCAGAATTTATTTCAATAGAAATTCAATTTTGAAGCATCCTGGAAATAATCAAAAGGGAGAATTGGAATGTTTGCATGAGTAGCTCTTTTCTATAAGTATTTGGAGGAGAAGCTCAGTTTTTAATGTGATAAGAATCAATTTACCAACATACCCTAAAGCCTTACTCTCAGGCACTTCATTTACTCCTCAGAGCCCTCTTGCACATTATTAATTTCATTTCACAGGTTCAGAGAAGCTCAGAGAGGTGAGATCAATGCCCAAGACAGCCCAAGTGGTAAGGACAAAGCCAGGATCTGAATGAAATCTTGCAGGACATCCACCCCGTCCTCTTTTCCTATTGTACATTGACTACAACAGCATCAGAGGTACATAAATGTTGGTTCTTGTTCTAAATTAACTTGGAAAGAACAGAAACAAGAAATTCATGTCTTGGCAGTGAATAGAAGTTTTTTTGCATGCTTATTTCAGTCTCTGTGTTTCTCTCCTCACCTGTCTGCGAAGGTCTCGCATTTTCTTGCACATGTTGTCTATGGCAATATTCAGGGTGCTAGTCCTTTCTTTTTTTCCAGCCTGCAAGGGAGAAAAAAATGACATAAGCAATGGTATCAAATTACACGTTATCATTTAACAATTTACTTCCTAAATTTCCTGAAAACAACAGCTTGAAAATTCAAGAGTAGTTTTCAAAAATGCTATGATACTGCACATGATTCACGGGCATTGTACTTAAGACCAAGTAGGATGGTGATTAAAGCTCACATTACTTTCCTCTTCAAGCTCCTGCAATATTTTGGATCCAGGGCTTGCTTGCACGCGACGCGACAGTAGGCAGGGCGTTATCTCCCTGAAGAGCCCATCTTCATTCTTCACAAGTCAACTCTCTGTTAAGCATGCAATTAGCTTAAAAGCATTAGATGCCCAATTTATAAACTTCCGTGGGAGTTTCTGAAGTCATTTTCTTTTTGTATTGTGTAAGTTATGCAGAGCCATATTGGAGTTTTGCTAAACACTAAATAAAATATGCAGTGCAAATTCATACAATTTGCAAAAGTTGACCACAGTTTTAGCTGACAGTATTCCAAGAACAAATTGTTTTAAGTAAGAACTGGAAGCTGGTCTTGGCTCTTCATAGTTTGTGGAATACCTCTGCATTCTTTGACCAGAACAGTTCTGCTATCTCCTCAACCTAAATCTTTAAGCACATAGAGAGTCACCTTGATTGATATTTTCTACATACTACTTTTGTGGGAGACAACTGGATTGAATCTAATCATACTTTTTCAGTGCTGTCTCATATAAAAGATATTGGAAAAAATCATTATGTGGTTCACCTCTAGGAAAATTGCTGCTTTTAAATTAATAAACTGAAAAGGGCTCTTAGGAGACCTTGAAAATCAGGAAGGCAAGGTTCAGACCTGCAAGTGGAGGGGGCTTACAGAGCACACCCTGATCAAGGGCAAGGAGGCAGGTGTAAGCGCAGGAGCTGGCCCCGCCCTGTCCCCATCACTAATGCGTGCTGCGGTTAGGGCGCTTGCCTGCGCACACCTTGAATCCTGGATATTAGGGCGACGCTGGTCACACAGGCAGGTGAGAGCTGCCCGGATGGCCAGTTCACTTCTGCCAAGGTTCCCTAAACCAGCAGTGGGGAATTATGAAGAGCTAATTCATGCTGGCTGAGGGCATGGTGGAGATGCACAGCAGGTCAAGAGATGACTTCCAGTTTTACCTTAAGAGCCTTCACTCTTATCCTCCAGATTCCTGCTTCCTTAGCTCATAGTCGTGTTGCTTCCACTTCATGCAGGCAGAGGTCATTAAAAAGGCCAGGAATAGAACTGAGAGGCCACACTCTGTATCTACCTGCGCGGGCACGTGCGCGCGCGCGCACACACACACACACACACACACACGTTTGTGAGGACTTGCTAGCTTCTGTGTTCATCCCAGTAGCCAAAACGTGTCAGCCTCCTTAGAGCTGGTAGCATAGCACACAGGACTCTCATAAAGGATGATGGAGGTGACAGCGTGCAAAGAAAGCTTCAATGAGAACTGTAGAGATGGTTTTCTAATTTCTGCCCAGAGCTTAACCTTAGCTAAAATGTCTCTTTGAGTCAAAGACATGTTGCTGCTTAGGTGATAACGAAGGCCCCTAACACTAGGGGAAGCTTCATGACCCTCCTGCGATCTTCCTCTGTCTCCCTTCCCATGCCCGCCCCCAACCCAAACCCTTCTCTTTCATCTCCAGCTTTTATTGCGTCATGGCTCTATCTTTCTGGATTTATTTGGCCTCACTTGAGCCATTTTATGCCTCTTTATTCCTTTTGCCTAGCATAAAAATAAATAAAGCAAGGAGAAATGGCCCCATCCTGTTTAAAAGCTCTCGTTGCTTCTGTTTCAAAGGCTTAACAAATCATCAAGCCAGGAGCAAGCGAGGACTAAAGGTGAATTCTATGTCCTGAGATGAGCGCTGGAAAGGGCAGGATATTGAAACACAGCCGCATTAGCAGTGCGGCGCTGCCCACCCCCGGTGCCCCGCGGAGAGGACGCTCCGTGAAGGAACCCTCGGCAGCAGCCACCATACTCCAGAAAACCCAGCTAGTGGAGGAGGGCTGGCCGAGTGTACGCTAAAAGGCTGAAAAGACGCGGCCTGGATCAGCGCTGCACAGAGAAATCATTCGCGTTCCTCAACAGAAAACCAAAACCTAAAAATAAATCTAGGAAAGAAAGATTTTATTGAAAAGAAAAGCTCTAAGTGTGGTCTTTATTCAATGAAGTTTTATTGCAATTGTTATTGCACGTGACCAGTACTAATGCAGTGTGGCCCAGGCCTGGCCCTCTGTGACCGGGCCAGGAGCCGTGCCGTGAGTGGCCATCGCTGATCCCACGGGACTGGGCACACTCGGGCACCCTCACACTCCCTGCGATGTGCCCATGCATTTGGGCAAATATTTAAATGACAATGGAATACCCTTCTCTGACAAAACTAAACAAAAAGGGGATACAAATGAAGGACCATTTTGTATCTGTATATACAAAATAGGATAGATATACAGCTACTTTCTCTTAATTCAGTGAGAAGAAAGATTTGTCCTAATAGTGTTTGGACAGGTTATCCTGTCTGCATCTTGCACTATGAATAACCGTTATGAAGACAATAATATGCAATGTATTAATTATTGAAACTGTCCCATTCATCAGTTTTGAAACTATCTCATTACTACTTGTTTCTCAGTAAAATTAATTTTTTTAAAAAAACATACTGAAGGAGTTCTATGACAAAGTAGGCAGGTAGGACTGGAGAGATAGCTCAGTGATCTAAGCACCTGCCTGGCAAGCTCAAGGGCCTGGGTTTGATACCTCCGTACCACATGTCACACCAGCCTAGCGCAGAGCCAGCCACTGAAACCAGGCATGGTAGCACGTGACTGTAATCCCAGTGTGGGGGAGGCTGAGACAGGAGGATCACTACAAGTCTGAGCTGCATAGCGAGACCCTATTCCAAATTAAGTAAATAAATAAATGCATAAATAATTTTAGAAAAGAAAGTAGACAGGCAGATGTAGGACTAAGCAGCAGACGCTGGCAAGGGAACAAAAGAATAATCCAGCTTGACGTCCAGTTTTTCAGGGGTGATGACAGCTGTGAGGTGAAATGATCGTTTCCGGCAGAGAAGCAGTTCAACACCAGGATAGCTTCTGAGAATTGCTGATGGTCCTGTAGAAAGCTTGCCTCATCAGCATTCACCCTATGGTTAACCGTTTACTGCATGTGTGTCTTTCTGCAAACTGTGATCTCCGCAAGGGAGACAAGTATCTTATACACATTTACCCCTCATAGCACTGAGCACAGTGCTTTGCACACAGTGGGACCACAGAACTTACCCATGGAACAATAGAGAGATGGAAATGGGATGAGATTTTGACAGATCCTGCAACATTCGTGGGCATTAATTTCCAAACTTGGAAAGGAAAGGATCGCCCAATTGTTTTGATGTACTGACAACTTTAAAATTCTATGAAATGGCCACATTCTCTAAAGGGAATTATCAATAACAGGTTACTTTCACTGCATAATTTCTTGCATAAACTGTCATTGAAAGTGTGCTGAAATGTGCTTAAAATATAAACTTAAAACAGTACAAATAAAGGAGGACATTTGAAATGGGAGGGCATGATATTTACAACAGAAAACTATGAACACTGAAATATGAAGGAAAAAGGATTAAAATACAATGAAAATTTATCTAGTTCATAATCAAATGGAAAAAAGTGCAGAGGAGCCATGTTTAGAATTGAAATGAAGGGCAATAGTTTTTGTTATTTTGTGATCTTTTTTTTTATATGTACACATTTTATTCAAGCTTTTAAAATGAAATATTTCCCTTTTAAAGAAAATCTTTATTGCATGCTAAAGATAAAATCTGATGGCCTTAAGCTTAGTTCTGCTTTATAGAAATAGCTTTAAAAATATTTATGCTTAACAGATAGCAGCAGCAACAGACTCTAGTACACATTTTTTAAGCATACAAGATATGCAAATAGGTAAGCATAAAACACGGACTCTCCTGGAATACGGCTGCACTGGGTGGCGAGTCAGGACACGCAAGCTCAGGAACTAGTCTACTCAAAAATTCTGATATGAAAATAAACCAAAAACAAATCAGACCTTAACTACATTATAAGTGATAGTTTGAAAAGTAACCATATAGCAATAAATGTCAAGCTACTATCAGAAAGCAGAAGCCCTTCAGGACATAGGAATGCATAAAGATTTTTATACAAGACTTCAAAAGAACAGGGAAAAAAAACAAAACAAAACCAAAGCAAAAAAACCAGCAAGAGATAGTTACCTCAAACTAAAATGCTTCTGTACAATTAAGGAAATGCCAGGGGCGGGGGAACTTACAGAATGGGGGAAAATATTTGGAAACTATGCTTTTGATAAGGAGCCAATGTCCAGAACATATAAGGAACTAAAGAAACCTCAAAAGCAACAACAACAAAGCCACTGACATGATTAGAAACTTGACAGTAAGACTAAAAGATAAAAATGGCAAACAGGAATATGTAAAAAGAAAAGTGCTCAGAGTCAGTACTCATCCAGGAAATTTAAAAAACAACCATGATAATATATTGCCTTATAGTAAGAATGACTATCATAAAAAAAGATAATGAGTGTTGGTGAGGATGCATGTAGTGAGAACAGAGAAGGGAAAACCCTTGCACACTACTAGTGAGAGTGTAAATCAGCACAGTCACCATGGAGAGCAGTGTGGAGATCCCATAGACAAATTACAAACAGATTTAGCACCTGATTTAGAAATTCCTCTGCAGTACTAGCTGTCCATCCAAAGGAAACAAAATAGTGTGTTGAGGAGGTATCTGTCCTCCTGTGTTTATCGTAGCACTATATAAACAGCCAAAAAACAGAAAAAACGAGGCCACTAAATGAGAAATAAACAACAATACTTAGATATAAGAAACCATGCAACAAATGGAACTGAAGATCCTTATATTAGGTAAAAAATTGGCGCAGAAAGACAAGCATTGCATGGTCTTACTAATGTGTAGAAT